AAAAAAGTAATTTCAACCAAACAAAAAAGCTATTTCAATTTAAAAAACCAGTCAAAAGGTTTTTTTTTTGCAAAACAAACTTGTTTTTCACATATCAGAAATCTTTGACTGAATCTCAAACTTTTGGTTGACACTTTAAGTTTGTGGTTAAACTCAAATTAATTCTGAACTCAGAGAACATGAACATCTGGGGCGGAGCCTAAAGAGGAACCATGTAAGATGTGTCCTCATTGGTTAGTGTGGACTGAAGCGATTTCCTTTTTCACCCACTTTAAATGTAATCAATACATTAAATAGCGTTATTAGCCATTATCAGTCCCATATATTGAGTGACGACWGTCCCTTCTCTACCTCCTAGTGGAAGGCACTTATCACTCATTCGTATGGCTGATAATATGCATCCAGAGTCCTCCCTCGGGACGCGGAACTCAAGCAGTCGGGCCGGATCACCGTCCTTTAACCAGGGGGGAGCACTCGATCTACTCGATCTGCAACATGGACATCAGGCTGTAGCTGATGGTCGCCCCAGATATGCTAACAGTTGCTAACAGACAGCAGAGCTTTCTGGGTCTGCTCAGACATGTTTCAGACTTTAATCAACTTTAATCAAATCACACACTGCGGTGCGATTAACATTTCCTGAACGTTTCGTTTTTAGTTTGTTTTATTTGTTGATGGGCGAGGGGAATATATTTAATCTTAGAAAACCAAAATCCAGCTATAGCTTGTAAGTGCCAAGGTCTCCATGCCGCAGATTGAGTGCTTTCCCCCGGTCAAAGGACGGCGAGTTGAAATTGTTTTTTTTTTATTGAAAATTTTTTTGATTGAAACATTTTGTTTGATTGAATAAAAAAACTAAATAAAAACTAAACTACCATCATACAAAGTTACTTGACAGTGGTATAGAATTGAAGTATGTGCCTGGAAAATACATAATACCCCTCTTTACAATTTGTTAATTTTCCCAGTAGTCTACACTCAGTACTACAATACGACAAAAGGAAAAAYTAATTTCATTAAATGTAAATTAAATAAAATGAAAATAGGACTTTATTAAGTCCCTCCAGACCCCAAAGTGCTTTACACTTACAGACATTCACCCATTGATGATGGTAAGCTACACTGTAGCCACAGCTGCCCTGGAGCACACTGACAGAGGTGGAGTTGCCATGCACCAGTGCATGCCGTTAGTCTCAACGCTATCACCATATATATGTATTAGCTCAGCGCTACACATTCTCCTCTCATCACTGAGGTCCTCCATCCACATGACAGAGAGGGGAACACAAAAATGACTCAGCTGTAACTGAAAATATGGATGGAGGACCTCAGTTTAGCTTTTTTGTCGCACTAGCACCGAGCTAATACATATAAGACATAGTGTCGGTTTGATAAGTATAAGTTCAAGCCATTTACTATTATTTACTAATTTATTAAATACTTAATTACTACAGATGTAAATTAGCCTTAGGCTAAATCTGGTGCAATGCATCAAATTACATTTTAATTGCACACTGTCCCGAACAAATCAAATCWAAATAAATCATGCAGTTATCATASCTGACTGATTTGGAGTCTTGCTAAGGTTGCTCAGCTGTTCAAGTTATTTAGTTGCAAATGTACAAACCAATTATTTTAGAAGAAATATATTCTAATTTATCTCCTGGTTCATGTGATATCTAGACAAAAACACACATACGGGTAAAACCAGAATCACCCCTTCCACCAATAAACATTTTAACTGAATGAATCTAATATTTGTTGTTCTTCAAACATAGCATGATCCTTACTGACCAAGAACAAAGAATTAGTATGAAAAGCATGTGTTGCATTTAATTAGTAATGTCATATTTAAACTTCAGGTGAGTTTTTTTTATAACACGTGCATTTCTACATGTCTTATAGGAGTTTGAACTGGATGTGGTGGCCATTGTGAATGACACTGTGGGAACCATGATGACTTGTGCCTATGAAGAACCCTCTTGTGAAGTTGGACTGATTGCAGGTGAGTGACACACGTTCGTTTTTAATAAATATTTTTTATTGATTACATTTAATCTTAAGTTATACGACTTTAAGGGAAGAGGCACTGGATAAATATTTGTGCATTTATATTTGAGGTGGCTGTGGTGTTCGACTCCCCGCCATGCCACCAAGAAGGATCTGGTTGTTCGACCTCAATGTTCTGGATGAAGAGTGAACATGAAGGAGATCTTTTAGATAGATTGGCAAGGCCGTTTAAAACTTTAAAAACTAATAATAAAATCTTAAAATCAATTCTATAAGATACAGGTAACCAGTGTAATGAAGCCAGCACAGGTGATACATGCTCATGTTTCCATGTACCAGTTAAAAGTCGGGCTGCAGCATTTTGAATCAATTGGAGATGACGTAAGGAGGACTGATCTATGCCCTTCTACAATGAATTACAGTAATCCAAACGTGTCTTGTTGAAAGCATGAATAWTTTTTTCAAAACAAAAATAAGACTTCACCTTGACTAAAAGACGTAAAAACAAAAARCCTGATTTGACAACTGAATTCACTTGCTTATCCAGTTTCAAACGGATATCAAAGACAACACCAAGATTTCTAACAGCGGTCTGGTAAAATGGAGATAAAGATCYAAGGATTGATACAGKGTCACTTCCAGTATTTTTCTCTCCAAATAAARTGACTTGAATTTTGTTATCATTCAAATGAAGAAAGTTTGAGTCCATCCATGATCTCACTTCACCTAAACAGTCTAATAGAGACTGTAAAGAATTATCCTTATTTTTCCCCATTAAAGGCATATAAATCCGTACATCATCTGCAAAAAATGGAATGAAATCTTAAACTTTTTAAAAATGTGTCCAAGAGGCGGCATTTAGTGAAAACAAAACAGGGCCCAGAACTGAGCCCTGAGGGACACCATACTTTAAAGGTGCTTCGGCAGAGGAACAGTGATCTAAATGAACAGAGTAGCTCCTGTCTGTCAAATATGACTTGAACCAYGCCAGAACTGTACSCCTAAGACCAACACAGTGAGGATGCCATGATSTAAGGTATCGAACGCTGAACTTAAATCTAAAAACAGCAACATCCCCTGAGTCCACAGTTAAAAGAAGATCATTAAAAACTCTGAGTGAGGCTGTTTCAGTGCTGTGGCCAGCTTTTGATGACAAAWAAAGCACCTTTAYWMTGTACAATGTWCTTTTTACYAGATGTTGCTGTGTGTCCTAACAGGAACAGGAAGTAACGCCTGCTACATGGAAGAGATGAGAAACATTGAGATTGTGCCAGGAAATGAGGGTCGTATGTGTGTGAATATGGAGTGGGGGGCCTTTGGAGACAATGGCTGCCTGGATGATATCAGGACGATTTACGATCAGGCAGTGGATGAGAACTCACTCAATGAAGGCAAACAAAGGTCAAGAGTACAAATAATATATTTATATTTTAAAAGTACTAAAGTTCTGATCACTCTAATCATTTTTTATTTAAACTAGGCATGGGACGGTATGAAATTATGATGGTCTGATGACCGTGGGCAAAAATATCACAGTTTCACAGTATTATGATTACAGATCTAAAACGTTTTATGTTGAACATGATATTTAAAAACAAAAAATAAACTTTTCTATTACCATATTCAACTTTAATTATCTTTGGAAGCTGTTTTTAGATCACAGAGGAGCTATGCTGAAAGTTTATTTACCTGTGTTGATAAAGTTTACATCTAACAGGATAACTGCTTTTCTACTGCTTTACTAGTTAAGACAAATCAGTGTAAACTGCACGACAAGTCTTTTTAATAAAGTAATGTATCACGTTGGGAGATTTTATTGTGTTTTAAATTCAAAGGTTTGACATAAAGATTATATAATTACACACAGAGAAACAACAG